ATTATGTAGCTTGCTGTTGACTGAAACCTCAAGTGTGTTTCCTTATCTTTTGCAGTGATGGTGCAGGAAGGACTGGAACATACATTCTTATTGACATGGTTTTAAACCGAATGGCAAAAGGTAAGATGGTGGAAGGAAGAGACTATTATATAAACCCATTTTCTGCAAACAATCTGTCAATTCAACATAAGAAAGTCCAGTCTGATGCAGCAGGCAAATGGCCTAACTAGTCTGTTCCCATAGCAACAGGCCTTTGAGAAATCAGAAGCGAGATTACTAATTCCTGCTGTTGATAGCCGTATCCTGCCTCCTTAAAGCTACTCTAGTTAATAAGAGTTACTGCATCCTGCTGTAGTGGGTAGTTTAACTATGTAAAGAAATGTTTCTATTTACTTATTCATCCATTACTTAACTTCAGTGATGATCCCAAATTCTAGTTGTTATAAGAGTCAAAAAGCTTTCCCTCTGTATTTTCCTTCACATAATTTATGTACGTATGCTTCCATCATACCTTCCATTTTTCTAAGCTTAAAATCTCCCTTCACTGACATCATAAATATATTACTCCAGAACTTTTCTCTCTCTCTCTCTCTCTCTCTCTCTGTCATCCTAAATAATCTGTTACTTAAAAATGTACAACCTCACTGCTTATTACTTTACATTTGGTCATTTAAGATTAACCAATCAGCATGAACTCTGCCATAGATCCTTTGTGATTCCATTGTTGACATCCTTGAATCACAAAGATTGGTCATTATTCCTAGTCTGTGTTTATGTTGCATGGCCAGTTGCTCATCCATAACTGACCATTCTCTTATTCTTTAATTGCTAAGTTTGCTCAGGAAACTTTAGTGAGGAATATTAACAAAAAATAAAAAGTCAACATTTGAAAATTAAATTAATGTTCATTTTTCCTCCTTATCTACACACACTGTGAAAGAACTCTCAAATAATATTTTATTTAATAATGCGTACCATCAAACAGATGCTCAGGTTGGATTAGGGTTTTGATAGCTATGCAAGACTTTTCTGAATCCTCTTAAATTCTTTTTAATACCGAGCATTACAGTCATATAAAGTCTAAAACATTCATAATATTATGTTCTAAAGCCTGAGTAGAGGTATTATTTTGAGAAGAAAAGATTTCATTCCCACTAATTGATTCTATTCTAGCCACACAACGAATGCGTCTGTGAAAGTTTTGGCCCTTCAAAATCTGTTTTTTTTAATTTGATGGAATTAGAAAATTGTCATACTGCATGGAGAATATTATTGTACTTGGGTTTTTTTAATATTTCATGAATTTAATCTTTTTTCTTGACTCCATCCACTTTCTGCAGCTCCTGATGCACTATTTAAAGTCAAGTCCACACCCTCAACCCAAAGATTGTACAATTTTAAATTAGGATATTCAGCAATACAACTTGTCACAATCAGAATAGCTTGTTCAGTCTATTTGAAAATATTTGAAATCACCTCGTAAGCACGTCTCTCTAGAGAACATTTTGTTTTCATTGTCCTTAAAAATTCCTAATGTTAATAAATACATAAAATAAATATAACAGCAACCTGAGCAGTAATAGCGATGATTTTTGGAGTCCACATCAGATTTCTTCCTGGGAAGAATCTGCCCTTTTTAAAAAAAATGTATATTTTGATATAATGCTCCTGAAATAGAAAAGCCTCCTTCACTATCCCTTTCATAGTTCATTTCCCAAGATGTTGATTCCTTCCAATTGTTTATTTCCCTTTTCTTCCAACCAATCTTTTTTTCCACAAGAGGCTAATTCTGTGTAACACCAAGTTAACTTTCTAAAGATCTTAGAAAGGCATCTGTCCAAAGCCTCTCTGCTTCTCTCATATTTTTGCTGTTCACAAACTTTAAGAAATGAACTTGTTCTTTTAGAGATCGTGCATAAATTTTGTCCAGCCCTCAGAATAATGCCCCATACCATACACTGGATAGCCCCGTACCTTCCTCACCATTTTCATAAAGTAGATATTTATGATTTATTTATGTAGCTGATTATTTACTAATTATTAAATTAGATTAAATTTACTATTAAATTTACTTACTACCTACTTAGTAAATATATGGGCTTACATATTGGCTGAATTTTTTTGTTACTGTAATTCTTTTTCCTTAGAGTTTGTCATACCAATTCCACAAAGAGTGCAAATATAATACTGTACACCACCATCATTAAATGATCAGTTCCCTTCAAATTATGCTATGAAGGCCGCATCTTTTCTGCCATCTACTCTACATTTGTTTTAACCTCTTCTGTGTCTACTCACATATTTCGAATGTGGGGTTTATCCACAGATACAAATACCCCCAAAGCCCCCACAGAACAGTTCTTATTCACCATTTTCTGATTTTTACCTCTCCACTTCTATACTAGGTGTGAAGGAGATAGATATTGCAGCCACCTTGGAGCACGTGAGGGACCAGAGACCAGGTGTGGTGCAGACTAAGGTACGTTTTGATGCTTCCTTGCTTACAAGAATTCTATGCAGTCCTCTTGATGGAAGAGCTAACTACTTAAGGGAATGTAGTCCAAGTTAACAAATCAATGTTGCGGCTATTTGTAAATATAAAATATTGTCTTTAAGTGCATCATACTATTCTGGGGGAAGAAGGAGGCTCTCAGTCAAGAAAGAAGAGAGACGGTGCTTATGTTTAAAGGGTTCAAACTAAAGTTAAAAAGAAACTATGCTTTTTAAAAGAATAGTTATATTATTGGAGGGGGTAGTGCTTCTCCCTTCTAAGAAGGGAAGTGCGGTAGAAAAAAAGAAAAAGAGGGACCCAAATTCTTGGTCCTTTTGACTATGTCCATGCTACTTTACACAATTGGCTTTTGTATTCCTAGGACCAGTTTGAGTTTGCACTGACAGCCGTGGCAGAAGAAGTGAATGCCATCCTGAAGGCCCTGCCACAATGAAGCCTCTATTCAGCATATCCCAACTTGGTGATTCCCCAACCTGACCCTTTGCCTCTGCTGTTGCCGTGTTCTTGCCTGGGGTGTTTTCCCTTTACCATGTGTCATCTCCATGTGGTTCACCATGGCTGCATTTAATTGCCCTGTGGAAATGTTGGCACCTTGCCTACCTGCCCAATTGGGCCTCATCCATCCAACATCCTATAATCCTCCTCCATGCTGCTAAGGCCTATTCCACCCTGGTCTCTCTGGAAGCAGCCCTTGGTGGATAGAAGAGTGGTCCCCTTTCTGGACAGCCAGGTCACCTCTAGGGTGAGAGGGAGTGCCATGGAGCAATACAGGGGCTGCAGTCCAAAGAAGAGTTAGCCCCCTCTTGTGAGATGAGTTAAAGACCAGTTTTCTGAAGTGCCTATTTTATGTTTACGGGCATTAGTCAAAGCAAGTAGATTTACAATGGGAGGACTGTGGGCCCATTTCTATTTTCTCTTCAGTGTCCTGCTTAGCCCTAGTGCCCAAATGAATGAGTAGAAATGGTAATGCCTTAGCAGAAGCTAGGTTACGTCAGTCACCAGTTTTCATCCTCCTTCCATTCTTCCCTCTCTAAAGTTCACCGCCTGATCCTGTGCCCACAGCAGGGGAAGAACTCACACTGCTTCTGCTCTCATTGTTGTCCCTTTGTTGTCCTCCTCCTGTTTCCTGCAGGCCTGGAGCCAAGCCTAGTCACAGCCATTTGCTCCCTTCCCTAAATGGAGGAACGGAACATCAGAGGGAGATGGCCCTACAGCTGCTAATTGCTGTGTTGTCTCCCTACTTTCTCCTGGGTGTTACTTATCACAAAGAGACATTTCTAGAGAATCTAATTTTGTATTTGATGTGAATAAAGGTTTTGTGTCGCGTTTGTGCAGCTGCAGCCCAGCCTCCCCATCTTGTGTATAACCAGGCAGAAAAATGCATTGTCTGCTCATGCCAAAAGCTTTATAGATAACAACTGTCAGGTATTTTCCTGGAAGTAGAAAAATTATCTGCAAAGGGCTGGCATATAAAGGAGTCAGAGAGTTGCCCACATGGTATCAAAAGAGTACACTGGTATCCCAACCCTTGCTATGTGTGTGCCTGGGAATGGGTGTGGGTGTGTATGTACAAACACACACACACACACGTCTAATTTTGAAATGATTAAAAATACAATACGTCCTGCCCTTCTATCTGCTGCCATTTCACAAGCAGAAGGAACACCTGCTCACACTTTATCCCATCTAAGCACAAGCCCTGCCATCTTTTCCTATCTCCTTGGCTTGATGTCCCCCCTCCTCCCAGAATACATAGGCAGGGGCATCTATGATCTGAACAGCCATGTTATCTTGAGTCTACAGGAAAAAGCACAACACCATTTCAAGTAGGTCCGATGAGAAAGGCTTAAACCAACCCATCACCACCCTGTATGCCAACCATTGGATTATATAACCTTGGGGAGGAACCCTGTGGTCAGGAATGTGGGTGGACGGTTGAGAGAGAGCAGGTGGCCTTTTGTGAAGTTGGCTCTGACCCTTAATTTCCAGGCTCTCTATGAGCCCCCCCTTTTTTTTTGCCATAGCTAGTCATGGGTGGATGCCTTTCAAGGATAGCACTTCATTTTCTGAGTATTCTGGATATTACCAGTTGAAATTATTTTTTTAAAAATATTTAAGCTGTTCCATATATTTTCACAAGGCAAGTTTCATTCTTCAACCATGAAGCTGTAAGTAGCTCTTAAGATATATCTAAAGGTAAGGGTATAGGAGACAATAACCCTAAACACCATGGAAGCAATCTTTTTAAAATATCCAACCGAGGCTTGATTTTATCTTCTGTTAAGAGGATAATAAATTAGAAGATGCAAAAACAAAAAGGCCTAAATACCACTGCAATTTTGTGACATACAATGCTCATCCTGTGTGGAAGCAGGGAGGATACCAAATGGGAGAATTTGTTACCTGTCATTGATAGCCTTTTTATCGAATTTCGGAAAGGTCAAAATAATTCCTAACCACTTTCCAAACATTTCTGAGACAGCGTTAATTGCAAATAAGTTTATTGATAAATGTCTTCCATTTTATATACCAGGCCAGCACTCTGCATTACAAAAGAGACCAGATCCACTCCAAGTTACAGACATGTTGAATGGGGATATGTTATCTGTAGTCATTATTTCAAGAGAATTTTGCTAGAAGGGCTGGGGGGTGGGGGGGCAGGATGAGCCACAGACCTAGCCCTCTCCTTGCTACCAAGAGAGTCCGACTTACTCTCTTTGCAGTGACTGGTCTGGAAGAGTCCTTGCTGCTCTAAGGGAGAAACTTCATGTCTAGCCCTTGGCTTTAGAGCAGCCTTGCCATGTTCCGGGACTGCAACTCCCACAGTTCTCTCACAGCAGGGCCATTGTGCTAGGTAGGAATTCTGGGAGTTCAGGTATCATTCTATATATTATGGTGGGTTGGGAAAGGGGCCAAGGTTGCCTTTTCACAACATGAGAGCCTACCCTGGTGCTTGAACAAAACTGATTGTCCCCATTCATATGACTCTCCAAACCCAAATGGTGTTTGCCATGTGTCCCTGGCAGCTAAAGAAGATGCTGCGGCCCATGCCTATGAGGAGCTTCTGGCTTTCTTAACCCACCACTACCTCTCTGGACAGACCATTCAAGACTACCCCCAACTCTTCAGCCAGGCTCTCTTAAGAGGGCAATGAGCATCAGTGAAGAGGGCTCACAAGTATAAAAGGCCTTGGCTCCATGGAGCAGCAAGATAGCTACTTCTACGGCAAACAGGCTATAGCCTGCCTGAGCCATTGATTGCTACATGCTACGCAGCAGGAAGAAGGGGAGACAAACACACTCGGCACTTGCCAGTCCCCCCCAACAGGTTCAGGGAGAGAACAGAAAGTGAAGTCCAGGCCCGAGCAGCCTTCAACGAGAACGAATGCTGGAGAGGCAATCCCCATGGCTCTTCCAGACTCAGAACACACCTGGGGAAACAAGCAAGGAGACAGAAGGAGGGGAAGGGAGAGAAAAATACAGACACCGAGTGAATTAGACAACAGTGAAAAGTGAGCAGCAGCCGGCAGTGTCTGAGCTGTGACATATTCCCCAAAGAAAGGGAGGGGGAGTATTTTAGCATCAAGACAGTTGTTGCAAACCCCTGAGATCATGCAAGAACCAGTCTGTTTCGACCTTGGTATGGGGCAAGGGAGGAGTGCACTGGATCATGCAAAATAAGGAATGAGAATTCCAGAAAAAGTTACTATTAATGAACTACTCGTGGTAAAGAAGATTCCCACCTCTTTCTATTAATCTTTATCTATTATTGATCATAATTTTTGTTCTACCAAGACATTATTGCAAAGGGAGTGGGGAGGGGGTGGAAAGAGGACAGCAAGGCCTCGAAATCTTGCAATTGGCTTTCTCCAATTGAAGGAAATTAAGAGGCGCAGTTTACATTTAGATGCAAAATAGAGGTAAGAACTTTTGTGGAAGGGAGCCCTATGATGAGGATACCAATGAAACAAATTCACTCCACCTCACCCATATTTATCTACTGCCTTTGCATAGAGCTCACAGTTTGTCTACACACACACAACCTACTCACAGTTCATCTCAAGCTTTCCCCCCCCATCTTGGCTATATAATTTAGTAATGAATCATTATTAGTATTTTGGAAGAGGTGTCAAAAAATATTTCCCAATTTACAGCAAATGTCTTCACTTGCTAAATCCTGATTCACTTTCTGCGCATCCGGGGGAGGGTATCAGAAACATTTAATGAAATATGTATTTTGCCTCTACTTTGCTGCCTTTGTACATTCTAGCCTTGCTTTCTTCATACAATATTGTCTGGATTTTTGTGAATTGGCCTAACATAGCAAAGGATAATCCAGCCAATAGATCCCTCATAAACATTTTTTTTCTTTCTCTGTCATCCCCCACCCCAACCTCTTGCCCCTTTGTCAGGGTGGAAAGCAAAGAAAATAGGAACACACATAGTGTAGTTGCACAGAGACAAGAGCAAGTTAAATGGCAGGCTGACGCCCATAAATGAAAAAGACCAGGGTTGTGTATATTCTTATATTTTCCCCAAGCAAATATATGTATCTGCAATCGGAATAATACAGATAGCTGCAAATGTTCTTTGTTTCTGCCTCTACAAGGCGTTTTTCAAAATAAACTTTAAAATCATAAATGGGGATAAATAATAAAAAAAAAGTGGAAGGAAAGCTGATAGAGGTACTGGGTTTTTCTTTAAATGCTTTGAGAGGAATGGATCACCTTGGCCTATGTGCGTAGTCAAAGCCAAGGGTATTAGAAATATACACAGCCCTGCTGATGGATGCTGTTTCAACTGATCGGGTAAAATAAACATTTTGAGGGTTACCTGCAGGGAGGCAGCATGGAGGGGTGTCAGACAGAATAGGCCTGTCCTTCAGGGTCTGTGGCATGGGAAGCACGGGAGGGAGGGATGAGCAGGTGAGCAGACAAGCGGCGGGTGGCGGCAGCAGAGAAAGAAAGAGGGCACCAACAAGTTACATTCCTACATCAAGCATCCACCGAAGCCTTTTCCAGGGCCTGCCACCAAGGGTAGACAAAAGGAAAGAGAAAGGCAAAGGACTGCAAACCCATCAGACCCCCCAATACACGCCCCCCAACCCTGATTCTTAGGCATGTGACCCGGAGGAGGAGGATGGGGGGTGGGGGAAGGAAATGGCAGGTACAAGATACTCAAACAAGCAATAATTAAAGGGAGCTGTGAGTGAGTGCTGTCTGCAGGAGAAAATGCCATGCCAATAAATAAAAAAAGATGTGCAGCCTCTTCAACGAGTGATTTGATTTGAAGATCACAATTTGAGGACAAGGGTCATGCAAGCAGTGAAGTTACCTATGATTCCTTACCCCCTGTGCAGATAAAATATGGGACTATGACCCACAGTGGGAGATACCGGTAACCTGAATGGTTCTGCATGGCAAATTTCTTGCCTTGGCCCCACCTTTCGGTTGTCCAAGACAAAACATTCACAAACTGGGCTATTGGAAGACTGAAAACTGCCCGTAGAGAATGGCTGCTCTGATTTTAAAGCATCCTGGATGGTCTTTGAAGCAAAATTCTGTTGAGTTTTTAATCCCCAATATACTACTGTACATTACAACTCTCTCTGCACAATATGCTTAACTTGGTGACAAATTTAATCCATTTTCAGGATTCACATAATGAGCTAGTGAAATGTGCTGGGCTCATACATAACACGCTAAAGAAACCACAGTTAGAATTAATCAAGTCTATCGTATGCTACTGCAGCCACTAGGTCCTTAACTGATCTGGTTAAGCATTTTGTGCAACCACAACCAGACAGCTACTAGCTAAGGAAGGCACAGTGTTGGTAGTAAGGGTGAGGAGAAGGTGGCAGAAAAAGGCCCCAACCCCTAAGTATGCCCTAGAATCATCCTCATTTAGGACGGGCCCAAACTGAGTCACTTCCACCCAATTTTTTTTTTTTTAAAAAAAACTGGGTTTTAAATATCACATTTTCTTTTCTTGTTGCCCAGGGCTCAACTATAACAGCAATCAAGGAGCAGCAGCCAATAACAATTCCCCAGGACAAACCTCTCTGGTACAGTGCAACGGCAGGGCCACGCAGTCAGACCATGCAGTTAAGCCATGCAATAAAACAGCAAAATAGAGGGTGCAACCTGAATTTGTACAAGGTACCAGGGCTCTATAGCCCAGGAGATGCCTAGACAACCCCACCCACCCCCTTCGTGCCAAATTACACATACCAAGTTACAGAATCTGCTCCTGCCCTTTACTCAGTGGTACCAGCTCAACGACTGGATGGGCCTGCAGGCTATCCTGTTTGCAACCAATCAGAGCCATCCTCAAGATCCCACCCTCCATTGGCCAAGGTCCGGAGCGTACCAGCCAATGAAACACAGTCTTGGTGGGCTCACAAGAGGTGGCACTGAGTGTCCTTCTTCTTCTTAGGTGAAGGGTCTCTGGTTTTGCCCCTCCCCTTTCCCGCCCCTCCCACGGACCCTTCGGGGCTTTTGGATGGGCCACCCGCTTGGCTGTCCATGACCAGACTCCCTTGTGGCAACTGTGACTTTCCTTTGGACTGCTTTTTCGTGGGGCTTCTCGCACCTGCTCTGTGCTGGCTCTTGGCCTCCATCTCAGACAGGCTGTAGGCCATGGCAAGCTGAAGATCCTCATCCTCTTCATCACTGTCTGTGTACAGGATCACTGGGGAGGAGCTCGGGGATGGGCGCTTGGGCGGTGGGTGTTGAGGTGATGTCACTGAAGGAGATGCTGGCGGCCCGCGGTTTTGTAGCGCTTGCTGCTCGCGCCGGCTCAGTTCCAAGCCTAATGCCAAGTCGTCTGGGATGCCTGCAAGGGACACCTTTCAGCCAATAGCCGGGGAAGTCATCATCCAATATCCCTCCCCCACCCCTATATACGACTGCATATGTGCATACACCCACCTTGACACGGCATCAACCAGAAAGGTCAGCAGCCCAGGAAACCTTTGCTGGATTACAATGCCTGAAATTGCCCAGTAACTATATATCTATGTGAGGTGATGCGTGCTGACATCCAATCTGTCAGAAAGACCCCAGATTTCTGCAGGTAGGCAGGCAGGCTTGGATTACATGATCTGCAGAATCTGCTGTGGCAGCTGTATGGGTGAGTACTCAGGTAGTTTCCCCAGCACATGTGCTATGCTCTCCAGATGTCCTTTAGAACAGGGGCCTCCAACCTTGGCAACTTTAAGACTTGTGGACTTCAACCCCCAGAATTCCTCAGCCAGCAAAGTTGCCAAGGTTGGAGACCCCTGCTCTAGAACATCATCCCAAATTCAGAGGCAAAAAGTTTGATCTAGTGCAGTGCATGAGCCGGATGCATCACACACTGGCCACGCCTACACCTGGTTTAGCAAGGGGGCGGGAGTTCTGATACGTCACATGATGTCGCTGTGACAACGCGAGTTTGACATCCCTGATGAGTGGTTAAGGCACTAGGCTAGAGGCCTTGGGTTTGAGTCCTGCCTTAACCATGAAACCAGCCGAGTGACTTTGGGCCAGCTACTGTCTCTTTCTCACAGCCCAACTCATCTCACAGGGTTGTGGTTGGGAAAATAGAAGTTGGATATGATATTGAGTTATATGTAAAAATAAAAAAGGCAGGATTATAAACAAACAAATACAAAGAACTGATTTTAGAGGGGGATACTATAAGGGGTAAAACGTGCACATTAACGTGAAGTTTAATGCATGTTTTTTGTCCCATGCAGTTATCCCAAAAGACCAATTCCAGTCCTGCTCATTTTGATGACATCGTGGCTGTTCCTCCAGGCTTTTGGGCCAAGAGGTTAAGATTGCTGAGTGAGCTATTTGTTTTACTGCAAGGTGTTTATAACTTCAGACATTTATTATTGGGATTGTTTTGTTTTAACTTTGTACGCAGTCCAAAATCACTGCTGTGAAATGGGCAGTTATGGAAACCTTTTAAATATATCCATCAACCCTCTGTCACCCTGGAGACCAAAAATATTATGTACTTCTATAAAGAAGTTATTAAGGTATTCAAAGTTATCTTCCTCTAAAGCTACTCACCATTAATCTGGATGGATTTCAGCTCTCCATCTTCTTCCACTTCTACCTTCTCTTGTCCATTTTCAATGATCCTAATAAATAGGAGAGAGGTTAAAAACTGAAGTTATTTCAATGATAGCAGATCTGCTTACTTTGAGCCACGTTGAATCCATGTAATAAATAAAACCAACTCAATGTGGCTCAAAGGCAGTTGCTGTGCTATCTTCATGAAGTAACGTCACTTCTAATGAAGAAACTAGTAATAAAATTAAATAAAACACGTGTCACTGCAATCTAATGGGCTCTTAGCAGCTTACATAGAAAAAAACATACAAGGTATCCAATATAAAAATAAAAATGCAACAGCAAATAGCAGATAACAGATAATCAGAGTCGGAAGGGACCTTATAGGGCATTTAGTCCAACCCCCCACCCAAGTGGGAGACCCTACATCATTTCTGACAAATGGCAGTCCAATCTCTTCTTCAAGGTCTCAAGTGATGACACTCCCACAACTTCAGAGGGCAAGCTGTTCCATTGGTTGATTGTTCTCACTGTCAGAAAGTTTCTCCTTATTTACAGGTTGAATTTCTCCTTGTTCAGTTTCCATCCATTATTCCTTGTCTGTCCTTTGGGTGCTTTAGAAAATAGCTTGAACCCTTCCTCTCTGTGGCAGCCCCTCAAATATTGCAACCCTGCTCTCATGTCTCTCCTGGTCCTTCTCTTCAGATCTGAGAAACAGATCTTGATTTACCAATCATCCAAGGGGATTACCCCTTTCTCTCTGCTCAGATTAAAGAAGCAACTCTAAAACCTATAACACCAGTGGCACAGCATACCACTGAAACCCTACAACAGTGGTGTCAAACTCACGTCATCACAGCAGCGTCACGTGACGTATTGGGACTTTTTATCTCTTTGCAAAACCAGGTGAGACCGTGGCCAGCACGTGATGCATCCGGCCTGTGGGCCGTGAGTTTGACAGCCCTGCTCTACAAGATTCAAACACTTCTAATTGCTGGTTAAAAAATGTGACCAATGCCGAAACATTGGAAAATCGTTTCTTTGTTGCTTTGTAATGCTGGCAAATAGGGTCAATTCCCTTAATGGAAAAAACTTACTCAGAAGCTCGGAATGACTTCTAATCATTTGTAAGCTTGCCTCCTGCTTTCTGATCTAATGAGTTCTATAGTGGTTATTAAAAAAAGAAAAATAAACAATGATGCACTAAGAAAAGTTGGGCTGGGCAAAAAGCTGTAATGTCAGCATTCAGAAGTACACTTGAACTGTAAATGTTTTTTTTTATTCCAAGACCAATTGCAGCCCAATACAGAATGGTATTCCCAGGCACCATGTGGAAAATGTTACAGCACATCACACTTGTGTTAGAGACATGCAATATTCAGATCTAAAACAGGACAAGGGGCTCAACTCAAGTGTACTTCTTCCTGAGACCATGCAGTTGTGTATTGAATATGGCTCCTTTATGCAACAACTCACAGGAGTGGGCCATGCCACATCCAAGCACTCAATATTTTGGATCTGAATGCTGCACACCTCTAAGTAAACATTATATATAAATGGTTATACCTGAGAAAGAATTCAGGTCTCCCCATCGCTTTTCTTGTCTTTCCATTCCCTGCACTCCATAAGGTTTAATTTCCAAAACATTCACATTAAAAAAATAAAATATTTGCAGGACAGCCCTTGATCGAGGCAATTGTCACACCCAGCTCTGAAATACAGTTATATCCCAGTATCCAAATCAATATGTACAATATGATCTGATACCACACTGCACTGAACTATAGTTTATTTAATCATCATCTTCTTTTAATGACCCCATAATCCTTTGTGGGGCGGAGTCTGGGCTGAGTATTTACTGGCCGGATGCCCTTCCTGTCACCAATGCGGAGTTATATTCAGCAGATATATCCTCATCATGCCCAGAGAGAAATATCTGCCTCTACCTAGGATCGAATTCACAGCCTCCTGATTGTGAGGCGAGAGCTTCACCTCTAGGCCACCGTATCACTCATCATCGTTTATTTAATCATTACTTAAAATGTAAAGCATGGTTGGCTGAGAGCACGAAGCATCCTAAACTTAAATTGTTTGGGTCCCAAACAAGCCACATTGTTTTTTTTATTAGAACGGGTGAACAAGTCTGCATCCCACTGCAGGCATTTTATACTGGGTGAGCAACAAGCCTCCGCTAGGGAAAAGGGAAGAGTGATGTAATATGAGGCTCTTTAAGAGGAAACAGAAACAAAACAGTACAAATGAAGCAAAAAAAATGGTTAGGCTCCAGAAACATGATGAAAGAATGGGCCTGGACATCCTTGAAGAGGACCCCAAATCTGTCCTACAAGACCAGAAGTTGACAGAAAGGTAAACAAAGAACAAATCAGATTAAAATGCTGCCCATTGAACACTAAGACACAAAGTGATTCACTGTCCAGAATGGGTGGCCCACCAACATGACAAATAAATAAATGGCAAGTTAAACTTTTACCTTTTGGTAGTGATGCGCTTGCCATTGATGAACCTTGTTGAAGTGGAGACAGAGCGGAAGCCCATCCCTGCATTGAGCCCCGGACCAAGCGAAGTTGCGAAGAACTCTACAAGATAAAGAGCACCAGAATAATTTGCAAGGGACGGCAGAGCCATACCCAGAACCAGGGAAAAGGAAGTAGTCCAGCAAGGGAACTGATATATATGTGATACACACCAAGCTTTCTTTTGAGATTCCGGGATAGGCAAACAGAAAGGCTGAGGATGTTACAGAATCAAAAGGGGCTTAAAACCAGTACGTGACAATTGATCGAACCCAGTGAGATGCAAAGGGGGAAGAAACTACAGATACTCCTTGACTTACAACCATTCATTTAGTGACCATTCGAAGTTACAATGGCACTCAAAATGTGACTTATGCCTGCTCCTCGCACTTATGATTAATGCAGCATCCTTAGTCACGTGATTAAAATTCGGGTGCTTGGCAACTGGCATGCGTTTACAATAGTTGTAGTATCCCATGGTCATATGACCACCATCTGTGACCTTGCCAGTTGGCTTCCAACACGCAAAGTCAATGGGGGAATTTTGTATACACTTAATGACTGCATGATTCACTTAACAACCCAAGGGTCACAAAACTGGATGCCATTTATTTAACAACTGACTTACTTAGCAATGGAAATCTTGATTCCCTAAACTGGTCATGCATTGAGCACTACCTATATTTCAACTGTTCTTTTCTTACCCGATGCAGGAAAAGGGGAGAAGAAAGGCCCTGCTGCAGGATGCCGGGGTACAGGTCCACGTAAGTCTGCAAATGGATCATCTGGAATGAAACAAAGAGATGGAAACATCCGCAGCTCCCAAGATATCCCACCATAGAGAGCAACCTCCTCAAGTTGTATCCAGGAATTAACTTTGTTTCCTGGAATTAACTGTTCAGTCCTTATGGGAGTTAAGGTAGATTGAGAAGATTCCTCCACACTATAGGAAAAAGTAATCTAAATGATTAAGCGTTTCCAAGAAGGAAAACAAGAAAAATATTCTCAATGCTTTTGGTCTAATCTCAGTCAATTTATTTTTCTTTTCTTGATGAGCTGTGGTGGCGCAGGGGTATTGCAGGCCAATTCAGTTCACTGCCAAGAGTTTGATCCTCACTGGCTCAAGATTGACTCAGCCTTCCATCCTTCCGAGGTCGGTAAAATGAGGACCCAGATTGTTGGAGGCAATATGCTGACCCTGGGCTGTAAAGCACTGTGAAGCGGTATGTGAGTCTAAGTGCTATTGCTATTGATGCAGTCCCTTATCTTTCAGAACTGGCTACTTGTCCTCTCAGCTATGCATCAAAAAAAAAAATTGACCTTTTTCTTTCCCATTCTTCTCCCAGAAAAAAAAAAAAAAAAAGACTAGCTTGAACATTACAAATAGCCACTTACCAAAAAAGTCAGCAAATGGATCTCGCCCTCCAAAGAACTCTCGGAAGACGTCATGGGCGCTACGGAAAGTGAAAGTGAATTCTGGTCCTGGCTGAGCCCTGGAACCGGCAGAACCAGCTAGGAAAAATGAAAAACAGTATTACCATGTCTGCTTAAAAAGCAAAGAAAGAATATGACAAAGCTGCGATCTGTATTGTAGGTGTAAGAAAGCAAAGATGCTGAAATATTGGAAAATTAAGAATATTACACCATGGCTCAAAAGTTTGCTAGCAGTGGATTGCAACTATAGCCATTTTTGCAGGCCCAGGCAAATAGTTTGTAGAAAAACTGGCTTGTAGCTGGTAAGCCAAGAACAAGGCAAAAGCCTTTATGTTGGATAAACCCATTTACAAAAAAATGGAGAGCTAATAAATCACAGCAATCTCCTACACACAATGAGATTTTAGATAGTCAAACTTTACAAAGCTGGAAGCTGGATTTGCACAAAAGTTCCCGTGGTTTTGTTCCACAGCCAAAGAACGCCTCTCTCTCATGTTCTCTTCCTAAGTCTCAAACTCACACACAAATTAGAAAATTGTTATCCACCTTGCTAGGTCTCTGTAGAACCACTAGGCAAAGCATTTGAAGGGTGTGTTCTTGCAAGGTATATCTGTATACATAAAGCACACTTCCTTGAAATGTTAGAGCATCCGCCTCCAGTGCCAGTGTTTTGAAGGTTGGAGGAAACAGCCATCCAGAATTTTCAGAACATTTGGCCACTTTCAATAAACTCCAAACAGCCATTTCAAACTTAAAACACAATGTTTTGAGTTCCAAACTTTCTGGATTTGGAAAGATTTTGTACAGTAGTATAGCCCGATGGCTTCAACATTTGTTGAACTGTCGTCCCATCAATCCCCACCCTTCTTGGCAGTAGAGATTATGTTTGTTTTAATCACCCAGCTTGAAGCACCCGGTTTACATTCACCTGAGTTCAATAAAACCCCAGTCCTCACCTGCACCAATGAGCCCTTCTTTGCCATAGCGGTCGTAGACTTCACGCTTGCTCTCTGAAAGAAGAAACCACTTGAATTAATAATTACCCCTTTAGGAATGTCTGCATCTCGAACAAGCATTTCTTCTTTTAACATGAGCATTAGTTGAACACATCAATTTCAACACAAGAAGTATTATTGAGATTAAATTGGTCCGAGCTCTTGCTAAGGCCCAGATATCCATTCAAGAAATACAGGTAGTCCTCAACTTACAACAGTTCGCTTAGTGACTGTTTGAAGTTACAATGGCACGGAAAAAAGTAACTTATGACTGTTCTTCACACTTATGACCACTGATTGTTTTTTATATTTATGACCACTGCAGCATCCCCATGATCACGTGATTTACATTCATATGCTTTAAAACTGACTCACATTTATGACGGCTGCAATGTCCCGAGGTCATGTGAACATTTGCAACCCTCTGAATAGCAAAGTAAATGAGGAAAAGAGATTCACTTCACAACTGTGTTACTAATTTAACAACTGCAATGATTCACTTAACAAAAGTAGCCAAAAAAAGTGGTATAATGGGGCAAAACTCACTTAACAACATGAATTTTGGACTCAATTGTGGTCGCAACTTGATGAGGACTACATGTAGTAAAAAGCCAAGTTCTCTTAAATAATCATGGTCTTTTCACAAAGTGCTCAGACAATTAATGCTGCCTTAATGTTTACATCATTTCATTTTCACCCTAGAAAAAGCCAGCCCAAGTTAGAACCATAGTGCAGCTGAGAAATGACACTGAGAGAAATTGATCAAATGGAGTTTTAATCTTAAAAGAACTCCATTTAAAAACTTTTTTAAAAAATTAAACAAATTAAATATTTGTTTGAACAACTTGCCGCTAAATCAAAATATGAGCACATTTAAAACTGATGGAGTAAAACAAATACTTGGACCAAGATCTCCAAACTACTACGGTCCTTGAACCAAAATAAGCCTCTTTAACTGTCTGCTTAGGCTTTGCAGATGCTGGCTCATAAGTTATCTTAAATCAGCACTTGTATTTTTAAACAGGAACTAGAAAGTAACCACAAAAACCTACTAGTGCCGACCTCCACTTTATTATTCTGCTTATCCCTCTATAAGCAGAAAATCCAAGCTATGTTTTGATTGGCGTTTGACATAATTACTGATCAACATTTATTGTACAGTTATTTAAAATTGTTTGCACCCTCCTTTGGGGAGCAGAATCCTATGGTTTGTCCCCAGTGCTGTTCAAATAAACTTGACTTAAGTACATTTGTGGTCTCCACTCATAAACTGGGTCATGGGGAATTTTTCTCCTTCAAAACCTCGACACACTTGTTTCTTTCATTTAATAATTAAGTCGCCAAACTGGATGTGGGAACATGTTCTATTCCCTTCTAACTTGCTTTTCATTAATAAAATTAACATTAAGAAGATATCTCCTTACACTGCAGAAATGAGGGCCAGTTTGGCCTGGTAGTTAAGGCAGCTGCCTAGAAACCACATCCCAATTAAATAATTCTCTGTCAAGCCAACTCACAGGGTTGTTGTGGGGAAAATAGGAGGAAGTAGGTATATTGGCTCCTTTGAATTATTTATGAAAACTACCGGTATAAAGGCAGCATAAAAACCAAATAAGTAAGTAAATAGTCCCACTTATTTGGCCAGTATCTTGGATAGAGACCAAAGCAGTCAAAATGGCTGAGGGATGAGGGGGGAAAAGCCAAAATCATTTGCTTACTGTCAGACAGAACCTCGTAGGCCTCTGCTATCTCCTTAAATTTCTGCTCAGCATTTTCCTTGTTATCTGGGTTTTTATCTGGGTGCCATTGCAGGGCTTTCTTTCTGTACCTGTGGATAACAACACAGAGGGTAGTATATACCTGTGAGGGATCCCATTCCATGAGATTCCTGGCTATGATAGAGCACGCTAGGCACAAGATTGTGAAAAGTGTTATCTTGGCACTCGTGTGAATGTCCTCTGGTAGAAATAGAAAGAATGCAACTCACGCCTTTTTTATGTCATCTGGAGAGGCATTGCGGGGCACCCCCAGCGCTTCGTAATAATCCACCATTGTGTGTCCACTTACGTTATGCAGGGAAACTAAATTAGAAGACAGAGAAGAATACAAGGCATTTTTTAACAGTTTGCAGTAGGGGTAACCCAGAGAATAACTTTCATAATTTGCAACAAGTCAAGGCGAACGAGTTATCACATCAGAGCTTTTCCGAAACACACCAAGTTAATGAAATACCCAAAACAGTACTATCTGTGTCTAACACAATTATCACCCAGTGTAGCTCACAGTCCATTCTGCACTTCATACAGATTGGTTGACAACTGTCCCTCCAAAGACCAGAAAGCCATTCAAGAAGTAATTCTGTGAATAACCTAGAAGCAGCATATGGAATTATACCCATTCTGGCACTGCAGTTTGCTTCTCTAACCAATTTATCTCAGAGCTTCTTCAAAAGTTAAAAAAAGAAGTTGGTAGTATATATATATCAGTTATGTAGTGTGTGTACATATACTTAAAATGGGAATAAGAGCACGAGAGACTTATCTCTTGTGCTCTTATTCCCATTTTATGTACACACACCACATACAGTGGTATGCAAAAGTCTGAAGAAATGGAATGCTTAAATGAATTTCAAAGGGAATGGAAGGTGATACAAACCTCTATGTGAAATAAAGGCAACATCTTTCTGGAAACATGAAAGCATGTGTACTATTTATCTGCATTTGCTTACAGACTCAAATAAGAAAACAGTGGATATGGCTAGTGGGGATATTTGAAACTCCTCCTTTGCCAAAAATGAAAACTGTCAATTCTACCCTATACCCAGCTAAGAGTCCTTCTGAATTTTCCCCCACTCTTCCTTGTAATACCTTTCTAGCTCTTAGAAACAGTCTTGGATTTCCTTGCGCACATTGTATGCATGAGATCTCTCCTTACTGATTTTCAGTAAAATTCAAGCCTAGGATTGTGAAGGCTTTATAAAATCTTTATCTTTCTTCCCAGTAACGTATATTTTGGACTTGCTGAAATATTTGGTCTCTTTTCAGCCTGTTTTTTCATTGACGATTTAATTTGTATCCAATCCGAATTCAATTCATAATTGCATGTGCGTTGTACCCGCTTTCAAACAGGGTGGGGCTTGTATTGCAATGTTCTATCTGCCCTCTTGCCAATTCTGACCCCCTCAAGAAACCCTGCTATTGGTGAAGTATGTTGGCCGTTCGAGTTCAGACCTTTCTATAGGTACTCCTTGCTTAGCAACTAAAACTAGGATTGGCAACTCCATTGCTAAGCATTAGGGTGACTGAGTGGAAAATCACTTGACCAGAAAAGGCTCACAACATCGCTTTCCATTCAGTCATTAGTCATCAGTCATCAGGATCATTATGTGAAATAATTTGCGACCACAACTTATGATTTTACTTCCATGTTCTGCATTAACTGTGCTTGTCACAAGTAAATTGAGAAGTATGTAAATTGCAATCACGTGACCACAGGATGCTGCAATGGTTATAAATGTGAAGAGCAGTCACAAAGCTATTTTTTATACCATCATAATTTGAATGGTCACTAAATGAGGCAGTCTGTAAGTGAGAATTACTGTATTCTTTCAGTAATCTTAATCATTTGATATATTAATTTATAGTACTTAGAAGCATTTTAATTACACAGACTGCTTTTATTTTTATTTTTATTTCTTAACCACCCATCTCTCTCTCTCAGATTATTTTACTGTTATTGTACATTGTAATTATTGTGCACTATAATTGTTTATAATTTTGGTAAAATTAGTGTATTGTAAATAACTATGAGATAATAATTATTGTGCACTATAATTGTTTATAATTTTGGTAAAATTAGTGTATTGTAAATAACTATGAGATAAACCTAGTTTTCAAGGTTATTCAAACTTTTAATATAAAATGAATTTTTAAAATTATAGTGAATTTCATAGGTTATCCAATATGTGAGGGAAAATAATTCAATCTGTTTCCAGGATTGTTCTAAACTAAACATTTTGTTCTAAACTAAAAACTTGAGATCCTCCTAAAAATTTTATAAATGGAAGTTTTTTAGATTAGAATTTCAAACAATTCAAATCCTTATGCTTCTCTATCACTCTCAAATCTATTCTAACAGGACATGATTGGCATTATCTCTTCCTCTACCAAACTGCTTCTTAAATATTAAGTATTTACATCCATCCCCAATACTTAATCTACCTAAATGAAATTATGCAATTATGATAATCTTCATTAGACAGGACTGTAATGTATCCATTTTAAGTTAGCAATTCAGCACTAGCAAGTACAGTATGCCCTAAGCAAGATCTGTTGTCCCAGGGATGGCACTCTTTCCTTTTTGGCTCGCATTCCCCAGCCCACAGCTACCAGATGTGAGTGTCACAACTCTCATAAATCTCATAGGTGACAAAAGTTGTAGTCTAACAAGCCTAATGTTGATGACCAGATATGGAGAAGGCGACACAGGCCAACGGATCAGTTCCAAAACCATTAAATCAGCCAGCAATATTTAGCTATTTTCACAGGAAGCTTTATTTAAAAAGAACCATTTGCAAAGTAAAAATGAAACCCACGTATCTGAGGTGTTTACTTCTATATCAATGTTTCTCTTTCCCTTCCTTTCACGTTATAAGTAGAATCAAACATAACACCTCAATAGTGAATGATTTGTCACATGTGAAATAAGATGATGAGATACAAGAGGGCAGGACTTGGGAATGACAAGAGTTTGCCTCTGGGATGCCACCAGTTTCCATTCTCCTGATGAAACTCACCCACAAGCTGAAAAGCAGTTTGTGGCTCGGGATGGTCATTGAAAAAAGGGACTTATGGCCATTTTTCACATTTGCAACCATTGCACATCCCCTTGGTCATGTGATTAAAATTCACACATTTGGCAATTGACTCATATTTATGATGGTTGCCGTGTCCCAGGATCACATGATCATCTTTTGCAACCTTCTGTCAAGCAAAGTCAAGGGAGGAGCCAGATTCACTCAACAACCATGTTAGTAACTTAGTAACTTAACACCTGCCGTGGTTCATTCAGCCTCCGTGTGCAGTGGTTAAAGTGCAGTGCTGCAGGCTACTTCTGCTGGCTGCCAGCTGCCTGCAATTTGGCAGTTCAAATCTCAACAGGCTCAAAGTTGACTCAGCCTTCCATCCTTCCGAGGTGGGTAAAATGAACAGCCAGACTGTTGGGGCAATATGCTGACTCTGTAAGCCACTGAGAGAGGGCTGTAAAGCAATGTGAAGCGCTATATAAATCTAAGTGCTGTTGCTATTTAGCAGCTGTGGTAAGAAAGGTCATAAAATGGGGCAAAATTAATGGTTTTGTTTAGCAACAAAAAGTTTGGGCTTAATTGTGGTTTTAAGTCGAGGACTACCTGCATTCAATTGCCTATATCAGCCATAAATATCGATACAGCTGAACTTCACTGAATACATTACATAACACTCGTAAATAACTAGTTCTCATACAACACCATAAATCAGAGGTGTCAAACTCGCGGCGTCACGGTGGTGTCATGTGATGTATCGGGACTTTTCCCCCCTTCACTAAACTGGGCGTGGGCATGGCCAGCACATGACACATCCAGCCTGTGGGCCGTGAGTTTGACAGCCCTGCCATAAATGCATCAATGAGACCAAACTTGAGCCAACTCCTTTCCTATATCCCTTCTCATGCCATCTGGATCTGGCCAGGAAAAGGAAAGAAACATGATTTCTTATAGAGTCAGAATCTACTTTACAAGGGATTAACGGCTTAGGGAGAGATAACATGATATCTCCAATTACAGAGGCCTAAAAGTTGTTGCTTTTCTAAAGGAAAAATATACAGCTCTGCCCCTGGTTAATGTAACGCTTCTTATTTTTTTTAAGATGGGTTTTTTCCACCCTGCAGCCTTTAGGTGCTTGAAACCTGTACACATACTGTACCGTTAGAAGAAACACCACAATTTTTCAGTTCTTCCTTTCCCTAGAAAGGGAAACTCAGGTAGAACTCTTGTCAATTTCCACCAGGTCAAAGAAAGGGAAAAAACACTGTTGAGCAACCAACCAGTTTTTTAAAGAAGGCAGCCCAGCAGGCAATAGATACGGGCAGACAGTGGGAAAGGAAGGGTGGGCTGGGGGTAGGCCAACAGGAATGGAGGTGTATTTGTGTAAGACGGTAGGAAGCCCAGCTGGTAGACTTGATTGCTGAGCTCACATCAGCAGGAGGAGGAAACACCACTTCTGACGTGGAGAAAAGGTTTCCCTTAAGGGCCAGGCTGAGACCATATCACCTGTCTTGCCCTTTTTAAATAATAGGTGCCTTGGCCTTATGCTGTGGCAAGGAGGAAGTGCAGATCAGCCCTAATTTGCAGAACAAATGGCCCTGACAAACCTGTGCAAATTAACACAGGCAGTCCTCGACTTATGACAACTGAGCCCAAAGTTTCTGTTGCCAAGTGAGGCATTTCTTAAAATGAATTTTGTCCCATGTTACGACCTTTCTTGCCACAGTTATTAAGTGAATCACTGTGGTTGTTGACAAAGTTGTTAACCAAAACTGGGTTCCCCATTGGCTTTGCTTGTCAGAAAGTCGCAAAATGGGGGTCCCATGACCCTCGAACACTGCAAGTGTCATAAATATGAACCTGTTGCCAAGCATCTGAATTTTAATCATGTGACCATGGGGATACAGCAACAGTTCACAAGTCAGTCGTAAGTCACTTTTTAAAGTGCCGTTGTATCTTTGAACAGTCACTAAACAAACTGTTGTAGGTCAAGGACTACCTGTATTGGCAAAATGATATATATCACAGAGGTTCTGCTTGGCCTGCATCAGTTCTAAAACTATCTTTTGGACTCGGTTGCTATAATAATCCTCTCTGAAAGCACTTAGAAGTGCCTGTGTTTAGCACCTGGTCTTTCTACTTGCAATTTGGCCCCTTTTGCCCAATGCAGACACACAATCATTTACGCATTGACACCCAACAACACGGGATTATCCAGTGGTGGGGTTCAAATAATTTAACAACCAGTTCGCCCTGACCCTGGGTGAACCAGTTGTTAAACTGCACCCCCCTCCCTGCTATCAAAGTGGATCCCGGGCACTGCACTACAATGAAGAAACGGGCATCAAGGGAGGAGGAGCAGGGAGAAGGAAAGCGGCCTCCATTTTGATAGTGTGTGTGTGTAATTTATCAACCAGTTTGCCTGAACTGGTGCAAACCGGCTGAATTACACCACTGGGGTTACTAGCACTGTCTCTTCTGTTTAGTTCAGCCACTGCCTTCTACTCCACAGAATTGCCTCAACTAAAGGGGAGTTCCTTTAAAAAAAAAAAAGATCACCCACATTTCCCAGTCAAATTTTGCCCTGGGTCTCAGAGATGGGGAAACCCAGACCTCACTGTGACCCATTCCAATTCAAAGGCAGAACAGAGAAGCACCCAAGATGACCCAGTCTCCAACACTCAAAGGTTGCTGTTGGCTCACTAAGTATCATTAAGTAGTTTAACAATTATTATGTCTCAACAGATGGCAGCACCTGGCTGACCTTGGGAGCTAAGCAGGGCTGGGCCTATTTAATACATGGGATAGAAGGCTTTCAGGAAATCCCAGGGCTGCAGGCTAAATTAGGAAGTCAAAACTCCACGAAGAAATTACTACCTGGTTGTGTCCATAAAGTCCTCATGACTTTATGGACACAACTTCTCATAAGTATGCCTAGATCTTTAAGAGATAGAAGGATGCAGGAACAGCAAGAACAGCTGCTCTGACAACACTAGACCAAAACTTGCTTTTGGGAGGAGAATACAGGTAGTCCTTGTTTAGCAACTGCCTCGTTTAGCAGCCATTGCAATGATGAAAAAGTAATTTTATGAGCAATCCTCATATGTATGGCCTTCGGCAGGTCTGTATAGCCAAGGAAAATTGAAGGGCATAAGCACAGTTGCAGTTTCACTTAGCAACTGCTGGGTTTGCCAACCAAGTTGCAGGTCCCTATTGCGGTCACTAAATGAAAACTACCTCTATCGATCCAGCAATGTTGCAGCTTTGTTCTGAAGTTCAGCTCAGTTTAGATTCTTCTAGGCTCATCATTCAAACTCACAATCAGAGTGTAAGGAGTTACACCCTACAATGAAATGTCATATGGACCCAAATGATTGCTCCTGAATTCAGAATATTCACTTCGTATTCCTTGCAGTACAGATACTAAGATGATCTCCTGGACTAAACAAAATGACCAAAGTTAGTTCATTTGCATCTTTGTTAATACATCTGACACAAGATATGTTGTTTCCTCTTTGCTGGTATTTCCTTTATCATTTCTCACTCTTCCATCAGTGTCTCTTCTACAAAATAAGCAAAGATTGAATAAATGGGGCAACAACAAAAATGCTCCCATTCCACATTTCAGACTAACCCTAGATTTTTCATTCATTCTGTTGGATAGAATAGTTTAAAGCAGATTGCATTCCAGGACTTTTAACTATCTAGGAAAAAAAGGAATGTGACTCTTTTCTTTCCCATGACATATAAAGATGTGGAAGTCTTTTGTTATCTGATGGCGATACCGATAATCAATAACCAAACAATCTTTCCCAAAAATTGTGCTTCCTTCCTTACCTTCTTGTCTCTGTTGTGATGAAGTAACAGAGGCAGAAACAGCTCAACAACAGAAAGGGGACTTCCTCCTCTAGAAAAGAAACAGAAACACTCCCATCCTTTATTGCTCCTTCAGCATCCCTTCACACTATAAATTCTTGATGATGCCTCCTCCCCACACACATACCAATGGTCCACTCTAATTAAACTGGAGCTTCGAAGCTCATGACCAGTTTCCTGTGGTGTGCAATGAAATGCTGTTAGGATCTGTCTTGTCTCTGTCCATGGATATTTTAGCTCTAATGACATGCTGGACACATACTTTGCTCTAAGAATGGTTTGTATGTGGAAATGCTGAACTGTCAGCTTCTCTAATCTTGCCTTCCCAGAAAGGCATGATAGTAACTCCTTGGTATATCAATTTTAAAATGTCACTTTTCACCAGTCATCCTGATCTAAGCAAATTTTATCAGATTACTTTTATGGAAATTAAATCCTTCTACCAATCTCACCAAGCCTATGTTCCAAATCATGTAAGCGTGCCCCATCTTTGCAATTCCTCTCGGTTAATTTTTCTAATTAACTCTTCGTTTCAGGGATGTGTATTTTTTAAAAAAAACAAAAAACAAAATACTCCGCAACAGCTCCATCGTGCTTAGGGCAGTTTACAACACGGAGTAGCAACCTGCTGCATTCGGACGGAAAGCGCCGCGATTGCTCGCGCTCTCCCGGTAGGAAGCTTGCATCGCTTTCCCTCGTGACAAATGCATATTTTTTGCTTTAAAGGAGGTGGTGGGGGGGGGGGGGATTGCGGATCTCGCTCTGCTTTTGTTTTTGTGTGCTTCAGCGGACCGAGACAACATCCGGCCTTAAGAGGCGGATCGCGTTTCAGCTTCTCGAGGATTCTAATGGATCCCGCCTTTCTCCGCGCTGACCAGGCCGGGCGCCGTGCACCCGATTGTCCGCGTAGCAAAATAAACAACCATGCCGGCATTTGCTTTGAGGCTGCCAAGGTTTCTTACCTACGCATTTGGAGATCATTGGAAGCCCAGGCGCCGCCTGACTTGGGGGCCGCAGCCCCATTTTTTCCTCCAGCTCAGAATGGTCCCCTTTAGTACGTACGGGAGGGACGCTCCTCGTTCCTCCGTTTTAGTGCACCGGGAATAGTAACCGTCCCCCGGGCGCGCACATCGAATGGGGCCATCCCTGATATTACTCGTTCCGGGGAGACGGGTCATCACCACCACCACCATCATCATTTCAGTCACCCAGAATCTGTGATTTTTTTTTTAAATTTTATTTATTTTTGGAATCACGTCGCCAATAGATTTGCAAATAAGAGCCCCCGTTTCCCCGATCGACTGACGGATGGCTGCTGCTGCGATTGCTTGCCTCTCATGGGGAGGGGGAGAGCAGACCTGCATTTCCAGGGGGAAGGTCCCCAGGGCGCCCCGTCTAACGCACCCGCGCGGCTAACCGTGCGGGAGGAAGGGGGAAAGGGATGCAGCCGGTTGCTAAAACCCATCTTTTACCAACGCCGGGGACGCACCTTACCACCGGAGGAGTCTCCGTCCGGATTCCACCATGGCCACGAGCAGCTCTTACGCGCGGCCCAACGCGGGGTTCTTTTTTTTTTTTTTTTCTCCCCACCCCTTTAAAGCTCCGGCCCTCCGTCGGTCTCTGGCTGTCAAGTGAGTGAGATAGAAGGCCGGCTCCTGCCTGGGCCCGCCCGACGATTGGCGGGGCCCGCCACCAATAGAACGCGCGCAGCCCCATTGTAACGTCAGAGCGTCGCCCTTTGAACTGGTGAGGTAAAGGCAACCCGACCCAGACAACAGCTGGTTTTAAGATCCCGCTAGAACCCCCCCCCCCACTCCGGGGGCTGGGCCCGCGGAGCCCCACCTGGCGCCGCACGCGGGCATCCTTGCTGCATCACCGTGCCTAAGCATTTGCAGCCAGAAGACGCGGTGGCTTTGGCGGGTGGGGTAGAGGGTGGGCTGGGTAGGTGGAGGAAGCAACGATTGAAGCATCTGCCCTCTTTGTCAAGATTTGATTAGGTGCCCCCCTCCTCACTTTTAAAAAATTGATGGGATGCGGTCACGGATCTCGGTTTTAGCTTCTTTTTTTTTTTTTTCCCCCTTCTGAATTGGCTGCCCAGGGCCGAAGTCTGTCGACTGGATTTCATTAATGCAAAATAGGAAGGAGGAGAAGGGCTTAGAGGGCGTTTACAGCAGCACCCCTGCACTCAAAACAGCCCTGCGGTACAATCTCATGCACTGAATTCAAAACGATTGACATTTTTTTTAAGATAGTAGAGATGACAGTCCTTACGCTTTTTCCTTAAAGATTTTGTCTTATGACTATAAATAGAGCTGTGTGAATTCCTGCAGGTCTGCTTGCATAGTATATGAATACAATAATAGATTGGATGGCAGAAATCGGCAACAGTGACTCACCCTTTTTGGGTTACTGCTGCTGCTGTTACTGTGGTTGTGTTTATCCTGCCTTTTTTTTTTCATATACAACTCAAAGTGACAATCATACCTAATATTCCTTCCTCCTCTTTTGTTTCCCTCCATCACTACAACCAGTGGTGGGATTCAAATGGCTTGGGGGGCCTGGCAGGGGAAGGATATTGTAAAATCTCCAGTCATAGGTGGTATTTGCCGGTTCTCTGAACTACTCAAAATTTCCGCTACCGGTTCTCCAGAACTGGTCAGAACCTGCTGAATACCACATCTGACTACAACGCTATGAGATGGGTTAGGTTAGACGCAGGGGTCCCCAAACTTGGCAACTTTAAGACTTGTGGACTTCAACTCCACAAGTCTTAAAGTTGAAGTCCACAAGTTTTAAAGTTGCCAAGTTTGGAGACCTCAGGGCTAGAGAGAGTGATGAGTTGTCCAAGGTCACCCAACTGGCTTTCATGCCTCAGAAGGGAGTAAAAATCGGTCTCCTGGTTTCTAAGACAGCATTTTCACCAGAATACCAAACTGGTTCTTATTGATGAGAGTATTGTCTGACCAAACACTTCAGAGTTCCCAATCTTAAAAGTTTTTTTTTTTTAAACGGGGGAGCTTGTGCTGCAGAAAGATTGAAATCAGCAATAGAAGGACAGAGTTGTGATGCCCCAGAAATTTGGGGAGCTGAGGGAAAAAAAAGTGCCTGGATTCACAGAACCATAAGATAATTTGGTTGTTGACAGTTTAATGTGTTGTGTGAATCCAGCTATGGCTTCACATGTCAGTTGTGTCAATTGTGCTTTATTCAATCAGCAGTCTGACCTGCATGTTGAGACAATTGGAAAGTCTCATATAAATTATAGATCACTCACAGTGCACAATTGCCTTGTTGGTTACTGCAGATAATTAGAAAATATCAAGTCCGCTGGACTACTGCCTTCATAGTTTTTTTTCCATTTCAGAGTATAATGGAATACAGAAATTAAGTATCAGTTCATTCATCAGAGTTATCTTTCACTGACTCAATGTGTCATATATCAATAGGGACAACCTTCCTTTGAATTAATAATTTGAATGGAAAAGTAATTGCATACGTATAGGATCAAGCCTTGTAACACTGGCAATTTTTCCATGTACCTAGTAAAAGAATGTGAAGTTTAATAACATATAAACGTACATGCCTCTTTTTATTTTTAGAACAATCTCTCTGAAACATTTATAGGAGCAAATCTCATGACTTTCAAGATAAATGTTCTTGGCCCTTAATTATGGTCCTTTTCTAAATAAACTATGGTGTCTCTTACAAGTAGATAAAAAGTAGAAGTTTCCTGAAGGTGAGTTCAACTTCTAGGTTTTTGATAACATGGATAAAATGGTTTGCTATTGCCTTCTTCCAAACAGATGGATAAAGTATCAGATTTCCTCTTTATAGTGCATCGCACAATAGAAACCACACTTGGTAGTTTATGCAATCTTTACACAGATGTTTTTTTGTTTATTTTTAATCCTCATCTACAGTTTTACCTTATGTACTACAATGGAATTTGTTACATCCAAGAATTTGAAATTACTCATCCTGTATGTTTCTAGGATGACTAGAATTAAAAAGGGTCTGCATTTTCAGTTATTGTGTAGAAAAGGTTCAACATGTATAGTTACAGTTTCATACCTTAATTCCTTTTCTAACTATTTAAAAAAGCAAAACCCTGCCCAATTGTACATTTGCTGTCTATGGTGGTCCATAAACTCTATACAATACTTATTTGTGAAAGAATTTTATAGTGAAGGCCAGATTCTAGCTAGATTCCTTGCTTTCATTGAATTATTATTCAGCCTGTTTCCAGTCCCAGGCATGCCTTCTGCACCATCATTTAATTACAGAATTTACAGGTGGAAAAAGATGGCAACTCTGAATTTAAGACCCTTGCAAAAAGAACATCAAACAAGAAACTAATTGCCTGCTTTCACTACCATATTCTCTGTGGATCTAAAACGGCCTGTTTATTTAAAATATTGGTGGAAAATGTGCTTTGGGGTAAATGATAATACTTAAACTTGGGAATGATGTCTCTCCTTTTATAGATTGGGGGGAGATTAAAATGCTGGATATGGCAGGCTTTTGGTTTCATCCAGCAGAAGGGTGTTGTGTTTTTCTTTTTTCTTTTAGAAGGAAATTTTCAGGAAACCAGATTCTTCCCTGATTTAACTTAATTCCTTCTGTTGGAAGTTAAAACCCACCCCTCTCCTAGAAAAATAAAATATTTTAGGATATATTAAAAAGGCATAATATTTCCCCTAAAAAGAAAAGTAGAAACTCAGAGAAGCAGAAACTCACCACCACCTCTTTGCTAATGGGCCATTACTCTGGCCTAGGCCAGTCTATTTTACATAACAAAGATCTACTCCAGGTAGAGCTATAATAGGAATTGCCCAAAGCCCTTTCATTACATCATCATCCAGCAAGGCTCAACGAAAGCCTAGGACTTAGGACAGCCTACAGAGTTGCCCCTGCATGGCCCCATGGGAGTCTGACAACCAATCAGAATACAAGCTCAAATTCAAATCCCAACAGAGTGTATAAAACCCAGGCACTCCCAGCGTATCACCCCTTTTCTTTCACCCAACATCTTGAAGCATGTAGTCATCCTTGTCACTTCGGAGCTCCAAGGCATGTGATCCTGTCTACCACTAAACCATCTTTCCAAACAGCCTCCATGTTTCCAGTGTCTTTTTCCCCACTTGGAACTGAACCCAGAAGGATAATTCTTCCAACACTTCTAAAACATTTTCTTTGAGAATTCTTTAGATGTTTATACTGTGAAATGCTAAATTCTATGTTCTGGACAAATTATGCAGATTAAATGTATACATTTCACTGAGCTTAGACATTTCTTGTAGCTCCCACTTAAAAGGACCTTAGCAGAGGAACATCTGGAGAACATCTCCAGGGAATAATGCAATTATGGAGACCAATAGCCAGATTGTTACCTTTAATGGACACGGGTTGTTCCCCTCCTACATTCTTGAATTCAGAGAATGGTGCACATGATTGATTCCCTCTCTCTGCGGGAAGGAACAATTTCAGGAAAGACATACTGCACCTCATTAGGGGCAGCATGGTCTTCCACTGCTGGGCTCTTTGGTACCTCAACAATGATTTCTACTTTTGGCACTTTTGGCACTTCAGGTGGCTTGTGTTTCCTCTGTTTCTCAATGTTGTCTCCTGCGCCTGGGCTCTTGGCTCTGATGGCCAATGGAGCAGAAGTCACATCTTCACTGGGTCCCAGGATCCTTGAGTGTGTTCGCCGAGAGGTACCCCGTCTCTTCTTGGAGCCCTGGGAAAGTGCTAAATACTGCCCCACATTCTCCATTTCAGACAGACTATAGGCCATGGCCCGATGCAATTGTTTGTCTTCGTTGCTAGGGTAGGCATAAGAGAAGTCAGCACTTTGTGATCGTGGTAGAGGCCAGATGTCTGCTGCAGAGCTCAAAACCTCAGGTTGCTCCTGCTGGATAGGTTCAATTGTGGCTGTCAAGTTGCTGCAGGGATCTGAAAGAGAAAAACAAAGGGGCATTAAGAACAATATACCTTAAAAATCCCTTCAATTTTACCCAGTGGTGGGATTCAATTTTTTTACTACCGGTTCAGTGGGCATGGCTTGGTGGGCATGGTAGGGGAAGAAGGATACTGTAAAATCTCCAGTCAGAGGTGGTATTTGCCGGTTCTCTGAACTAGTCAAAATTTCCACTACTGGTTCTCCAGAACTGGTCAGAACCTGCTGAATACCAGCTCTGAATTTTACCCTATGTGATTCAGGAGCAGAGGTGATAACATTCCCCCAGGAGTGGGGTGGGAATGGAGATTTTGCAGTATCCTTCCCCTGCCACGCCCACCAAGCCATGCTCACCAAGCCACATCACACCCACCAAGCGATGCCCATAAAACCAGTAGTAAAAAAATTTTTTGAATCCCACCACTGTTCAGGAGGCAATTCTCCCCAATACAAACTCCACGTTACAGTATTAAATGGGGGTGGGGGAGAGAATTTCCTGAGCCATATGGGATTGCAGAAATAGCATTTGTATAAAAATGGGAGAGATTGAGATGCCTTTTCCTCACCTGTCCATCTACTCTACTTTGGCTGAACAACATTGAAGGCTGGCCTATCTTGCAAATAAAAAGACTATTCAGAGCTAGGTAGGAACAGAACTAGGGAAGGGGCTACCTCTTCCCACAAAGAGCCAGGT